TCTTTCCTTTGCTCTTCAGCTTGGATTTGCAATTATAATAGAGGCGTGCTTTCGGTGCGTCATCCAGTTTCGGTATTTAAATGCAAAATGCACGCAATGGCACCAAAGCTATTAAAATAGAAAAAGTAACGCAGAATGTGGTAACACAAACTGAAATGATTCCCATGTCAACTTAGATAAACATGTTATGAACACCTGCAAAACGGCTTTCTATCAGTTACGAAATATAGCAAAGATAAGAAACTGTCTCTCTCAAGATAATGCTGAGACACTTGTTCATGCATTTATTTCATCCAAGTTGGATTTCTGTGATGCCCTTCTATATGGCTCACCCAATCGGTTATTGATAGGCTACAGTATGTACTAAACTGCGCAGCTCGACTGGTGACTAGAACCCGAAGCTTAGAACATACAACACCAGTTCTTCGTAGACTACATTGGCTACCAGTCAGACAACGAACTGCGTACAAAATACTACTTCTTATGTACAAATTTAAAACACTGAATGGCATGGCGCCAAAATATATAGCAGATCTACTTCAGCCCTATACTCGGACGAGGCAATTACGATCTTCTTCATAAAATCTCCTTGTAATACCAAAGTCTAATCTCAAGTTTTACGGTGACAGATCTTTTCGAGTTGCTGCGCCTAGGCTCTAGAACTCCCTAACCGATGACATAAGATCAATCCAGAACCTTGATGTTTTTAAGAATAAGATTAAAACACAACTTTTTAGAGAGGCTTTTATTAATAAGTTGACTACCCTTTTTTTGACTTTTTATTGTATATATTTTCCTCAGTTAATCTTAGCAAGTCGATTGTATCTTATTTTCTAGAAATTAACTTTTATAACTGTTATATATTTTCTTTAATAACTCAAATGTTTTTTGGTTTTTTAGAATTACGATTGTTGTAAAGCGCCTTGGAGCTCACGGAAAGGGCGCTGTATAAATTTTTGTTGTTGTTATTATAATTATTATTATTATTATTATTATTATTATTAGTATTATTATTATTAGTAGTAGTATTATTACATGGCCAACATTCCACAGCCGCCAGAGGAAGACAAAGAAGACGAAAAGCCGGCTGAGCAGGGCGACGAAAAAGAGAAACACGGGACAGAAAATGCGAACGAAATAAATGAAGAGGCAGGATCGCCGATTGTGAATGAAGTGGAACAAATGGAAGAAGAAGCTAATTAACGAATTTTGCAGAACTCTGAAATGATTACTGGAGAATTTAAACAGAGGATGATCAAGAATTCTGCTCTATTCGAGTCAAAACGTGATTAGAGTTAGAGACAAACAACATCAAAATATATCGAGAGCCATTAACTTATTCTTGGTTAGCTATCAGACACCCATGCGAAAATAGTTTGTATCTAGAGACGTAAAGCGACAGCACTGCCTTGGTGATGAATTCTACGTCAAACGTTGTTGCTTACTTTTCTGTCACTATATGTGAACTCAGTTTTATATGTGTAGAACTAAAGTAAATCCTTACTTTGGTAGTAAATATTTGGGACTTTTCCTCATTCACTCTACCGAAGGGAGCGGCAATACTGAAAATGGCTTTGAAGGTGTTTACCATGGCAACTAAGAGAGCGAAAAAGGCAGCCCGAAAGACAGAGGAAAGAGAATGCGAGTTGATTCGCCTTCTGTCTGTCGAGTTCATGACTCCGGGTTCAATGCCTTCAATGGCGTTGGGATCACATTACTTTCTATTTTCCTACTCTTTTTCGTCGGGATCACACCACTTTCTCTGTTAGTAATCTTTTTCGTTAGGATCACATCACTTTCTCGTGATAAGGTTGCTACATGTTAAATAGCCACAGACTGCGCACGTGTTAGGTGGGGAAGGGAGAGGATAAAGGGCGAAAACACGGAGCGTGTAACTCGCCTGAACACGCAAAAATGACGCCTGTCGCACAAGGCTGTTTTATTCTAGTCCCTTTCCAACTTAGTCCATTAGGAAAAGCCGTAAAATTTCGGACCAGGCAGGTTGAGGATGACTTGCTACTCACTTTCACTCTTGCGGTGTCAGGCAATCGTATCGAACTGTAACGTGACGCCAAATGTTTCAAAATAAAAACTTAACTCGAATGAAATTGTTCCTAATTTAATCTAGCAAAAGGATGCGAAAACCAAATATCTCACACTGACCAAACAGAACTAATTAGTCTAAGAGACATACAATGTTACAGTATACTGAAACAAAGTTCACTGAATATGCAACTTAACAATCCCACAGATCAAAGACTTGCCATTTTGATCTTTGATTTGCGCTTTTAGTTTCAAGTTACCGCTCGGGAAATCGGGTGAGATGAATTCGACCAAAGCAAACTCCACTTTGACACCGCTCTTCAATGGACAAGATAAACCGTAGCCTTGACACGCATCAGGATTCGGCAGCGGTAGGCGCACAGGTATCAGTCCAATGATAGCGTATACGTAAATCTTAGCGCTGGTGACAACTTCGTGTGGGATGAAGGTGATGGTGATTGTTTCATTGCCTCCTTTCTTCAGGGCGCACGGTTCTTCCTCGCACGGCGTTATATCAATGGAGACGATTTCACCCAGCTCTTTAGTAAACCGGCACTCCTGGTGGCTGATTTGCTTACAGGAAACTATTGCAATTGCAAGCAGAGAGACAAGAAGGAAAACTACAGCCTTCATCTTGGGTTGCCTTTGCTCTTTCCTTTGCCCTTCAGCTTGGATTGGCAGTTATAATAGTGGCGTGCTTTCGGTGCGTCATTAATGTCACGCGACGATTGTCCTTTACCCCATTAACACGTCTCACCACTTTCTCGTGATAAGATTATAACCTGCTACAGTAACCACAAACTGCGCACGTGCTAGGTGGGAGAGGGAAGAGCGTAAAAGGCGAAGACACGGCACATGTGACTCACCTAAACACGCACAATAATGCCTGTCGCACACGGTTCCCTCTCCAACATAACTAATTAATGTCACGCAACGATTGTCCTTTAACCCGTTATACGTCACACCACTTTCTCGTGATAAGGTTACAACCACAAACTGCGCACGTGCTGGGTGTAAGAGGGAAGAGCGTAAAAGGCGAAGACATAGAGAGTGTGACTCGCTTGAACACGCAAAAATAACGCCTGCGCTTAAGGTTGTTTTTATTCTAGTCCCTTTCCAACATAACTCATCAATGTCACGCAACGATTGTCTTTTAACACTTTACACCTCAATATCAGTATGCATATTCTCCACACCGTTCTCTATTCATTTCCTAAAGTGCTGGTAAAGAGAATTTGTCTAACAATCAAGAGATTGTAGCTTATCATTTCCTTTATTCTCGTGACCTTCATGTTTCATTCAGAGGTGATATCGCAAGGAGTTAATAACCCTTTAACTCCCATGAGTGACCAAGATAGAATTTCTCCCTACAATATAAAGACAATATCAAGCAGATAAGTCATGAGAATAAAGAATAATACCAATTTGGGGATAATTAGTTGATCCAATACTAAATTTCCTGAACTAACATTATAAGAATTTTATGGTTGACTATAAGGAGAAATAAAAATTTGATCTGGGAGTTAAAGGGTTAAAGAGAACAAAAGTTGGATGTGTTCGCCACAAGTTGGAGCTGACACGAATGTAATATTTTTCGACGCGATGACACCAAAGCTATTAAAATAGAAAGAGTAACGCAGAATGAGGTCACACAAACTGAAGTGGTGCCGTTGAGAAGGTTTCTGAAACGCTATTTTTTTACAAAGAAATTATTTTCAAATAGTTTTGAATTTAGAGAACTCGGCACCACACCATCCTCCGACGCAGAATTGGGGGAGGGGGGGGAGGGGGGGAGATGGTATATAAACACTACTTTCAATTTCTTGATTCAGTAGATTCTGCCTCAAAGAAAGAACCCTCCTCAAAATATTCAAATAAATTTAAATTTTAATGCATGACTAACTAAGGCTTACAAGCAACTCTCTGAACTTAAACGTCGACCTGTAGAGCGTCTCAAAATTCAATGAATGCAATAGTGTTAATATACACCACGATGCATTTCATTGTCGCTACATTTCATTTACTTAAAATTAGGATTTCAAATAACTTGACAGATGCTGTAGATTGAATTTAGAAAAAATGATATATTACGAAATATATGTGAAAATAATATAAAAAATATATTTTTAATTATCATGCATCATTTCATATTGACAGAAGATTACAGGTAGCAATCTTCTGGTATTTATTATTAATGTTATATATTAAGTTTTTGATGAAGGGGTCGAATGCCTCCCAATAAGCCTATCTTATTGGACGATCTACCGATTTCAATCAAGGAGTAGTGTCATTACACCCGCTTTTTTTCCGACAGTCGACTCAGTATGTTCCCTGGAAACATCGAGGACAAAAAGTTATGAGCATTCCCGACTTGAAAAAGCGACACGCACTCCTGAGTCTATCAGCGAATAATCATCACGAGAAAACCAATAAAATTCTCACTTTTCCAATAAACCCAACGAACCAACTGATCACAAATCTCACCACGATCGCGAGGGAAGTTGAAGCCTTCACAAAGAACTTCATCAAAGGCAGCTACACAAGGGAAACAGTAAAAGTGATGGCGATTGTTTAAAACTCCAAGCGTGCACTAACATCGCAATCTCGCTGCTTAGTGTTCTGGTTAAGGAAGAAAAACGACGGTTGAATAAGTACACTGAACCTGTCTGTTTTTTTTTTAGTGGTTATAAGACAAAAATACCAATATATTAGAAATAATTCGATCCAAAATATATTAACAATTGTATTTGGATTTAATTCAAAGGTAGAATTGTGAATAAATTTCTCTGAATTATTATGACTTACTGGCTAACGAAACGAATTTTATGACGCAGGGAATGCTAAATTTCGCATTCATAATTCGTTACTGCAAATATAAAGCTTTTACTATGAACAGATAGCAGAAATGTAATTCTACATGAAATCTATAAAACTTAAGTTGCAATCTTAGACAATAGGTCGGCACCTCGCCCCCATACTCAGACTACAGAATATAAAATTTCCCTCCTTTGTGAGTGACTACAAAACAAATGTAGCGATATATCTGATAAATCGTGAAAACAGCAGAGAGCCAATGAGTGAAAAGCTAATACACGTGATCAGCAGCAAAGCGTGGGAAAGCGTGAGCTGCACTGCTTTTGTCATCCAATCACAAAGCCAGGTACGGCAAAACCTACTAAAATCCTTGCTACTTTCAACATTCAATTTGCTTCTCGACCTCCTTGCAAAATTTCACTAATCTTCAATTTTCTTGAATTCCCATCCTCCTTCTCCGTCAAGGTTCAACTCAAAGTCATGAAACTAAAGAAAAAATATTGAAGAGGGATGTTACCAATCCATGCATTTGTGTCAAGTCATTTTACTTCTTCCATTTGATTCTTCGTACTTCTGTGTAGTCGTTTTTGCGTTCGTAAGCGCGCTCGTTAGTTCGTGCGTACTTCCGTCAGTCTATTCGAACACTTGTTATTTCGTCCGTTCTCGCCCTCGTTTGCGCGAAGATACATACCTGCCTGAGGGATCTCCTATGACCAACGCTGGACACAGTGATTCCAAAGTCCTTGCAAATCGAATACAGCTTACTCTCCGTGGAAGTGTCTAAGGCACTTGTAGCTTCATCTAGGACTGAAGAGAACAATTGTTGTTCCATAAAAAATGAAAAAAATAATATCAACAATGAAGCTATTTAGCGTTAATAATTTTCAACTTTGTCCAAAAGAAGTGAGATTTTTTACTTACGCGCTACTTGTGGTCTTTGATAGAACAAACGAGCGAAAGATAACCGTTGCATTTCTCCTGGAGTCAGCATGTCCTCCCTGCATCAAAAGATATTTCTAAGTTCTACATAAGGAATAATAATCAGTTTTAACTAAAAATATAAACAATCAAACAACAATCAGATTTTCTATGGGAGAATTTTGAAAGACTTAAAGCTGCGTTGCGGCTGGAAGGACTCATAATCGCTTGCTTCGTGGGAGCAAAGCAAGCTTTCTCCGTGCATTTCTGCCCGTACAAGCTGAGGAGCAAAGACATGCAGAAGCGTTCGAGATTTCATCACCTACCACTTGCATTCCACAGGACTATCTAGGCCACCCACCCGGCTGCAGAGATTTGCCTTAGGAGAGAGAAAAAAAAAGTACAAAGATAAACCTCAGTAAACCCGATTTGAGTAAATTAGCCCAAGGAATTTTAAACATTTCTTTCCAACGTGTTCATGGTGATAAAATTCCCAATGAGGGAAATCATAACTTATGTACACCTGCCTCCAAAAGGAGGGTTGAGGAGTTTTCCATAGAGGAAAGCGTCGAGCTGATGTCTTCACGCAGTTTCTAAGATATTGGTAAATCTGATTGACCCTGATAAAATAATACTTTTCGCTTCCGAAGTAGTAGAAGTAGAGCGAACAAAGAAATAAGGGCTGTTACGCTAATATTCCAGTATCGCGTTCGTTTCCAAAAACCAGGATTTGATTACAACTTCTATTTAGGAACAGTGAACGAGGGAAAGGTAAGCGAAAGCTTCCCCTCCTTTGCACTTGTTCTATGCATTGTCGTCCACGAAATCTCAGAATTTCACTTGTGTAGTTGACAAGTTCACTTTATTTACTTACAAGCCCTACAGTGTCGAGCAATCCAAGAAGTTTCTCGTCTTCGTCACCTGTGTTTAAAATGAAAATATGGCGAAATACACATTGGAAGATCCATGCAAATTTTCACTAGTCGAAATTTTTACGATCACATTTAGTTATTGGTTGGTTAACGGCGCATGTTCACAGCGAGGAAAACCGCTAGCTAACAAGGAGAAACCAATAAAGCGCGCTTCTATAGAGCTTTGAAGACTAAAACCAAATAAATCAATACCAAAATCGGCACGTGGCCATAATTGTTAGTTTTGCATATGATTGGTTGAGAGGGTGACGCGGGTTTTCACGACCAATCAGAGAGCGTATTGAAGCAACTACGAACTGAACCATAACTGTCATTACCTGCTTCAGAGTGGCCTCCATAAAGGAGAAGATTTTCACAAGGGTAAGTTAACTGGAAAAATCAACAACAAATAAAAATAAGACAGACAGTTTAACTACGGGCGACAAAATAACGATGATTATGGTATCTGAGGGGAAATCAAGCATTTTGCGTAGTATCTCCCCCATTTCAGAGCCATATCATAGACTTATCTCCAATTTAAAAATGATTAAGCCTTGATCAATGACGAAAAGTAGTTCACCAACAAGAGAAGTCAGAGAAAACACACGTGACCGACGAACAGCGCGGGAAAACGTACCAGACATATTACTTGACGTCACATCAACACAGTGGTCAAACCAGAGCGCATGTGCCTCCGTGGCGTGTTTCCAGACTGTCAAAGCCAAGTGTTGTCTTATCGACAACCACACAGGCGAATACGTTGCAGTTGGTAAAGCCCAAAAAGCTCTTTGTACGAAAATACTCAGTTTTTTTCCTACTTTCGTTCCATTTTACAGATTTAAACGAACGTTCCGACGTCTTTTTTTTCCCACACATTTTGCGTGACAGTGGTTGTTTCTTAAGTTTTCCTTGGTGCGCGGCCGGTAAAAAGTTACTCCACTGCGCATGCTTTACGTTTGACCCCTGTGTTTTTGTTGTGTTTTGCCGCGTACTAGTTTGCCAATCATTGTTCGTCAAACCTGTCTCCCTCATAACTTTTCTTTAGTTTGTTTCTTATTGTCATTGGCGCTGAGATCAGGAGAACTTTACCTGTTGTCGTAGTGTACCATCCGTAACGAAAGTCTTTTGTGGTAGGAAGAAGACAACTTTGGGATCGAAAGGTAAAAACCTTATAACCTCTCCTGTAAAAAATGGAAAAAGGATAAGCGACCTGACAAATTGTTGCATGAAATCTTATGCAAGCCTTCTACTTTCAAACAAATTGAGGTCAGAGGCCATAAAAGGTATTTTTTCTTTCACCGGCTCAGTTTTTCCCATCCCGATACACAATTTTTAGAGATCCGTGATTGTTTGTTCAAGGCGGGGGGAAATTTCCATCCCAAGAATAACCAATCAGAGACAGTACGAGGGTCGTTATGGAGTGACATCAATAACATAAAAATACAATCATATTGGAAACTTTTTGTAACAGCTACTACAAGAAATTATAATAAAACGATATTCAAAATAGCTAATTCTACAAAGGTTCATGTTACATTTGGGTAAATATATCATACCTGAAAGAGGAGCCCACATTCCGCTCAGGATCCTAAACA